CTTACCATGAATATGTGAACAATTTCTTTGATTAAATTATTACATTAAGATGTTGAGTATTTTATTTTTTGTGTAATGCTTGCGTGTATTTGGCCAACATCTGCATGATTTAGAATTCAATTTGAAACTAAGAAGTAATAATTGTTTTAGCTATTGTTTGAAATTCCTTAAGAAATCTATAGGATAAAGATATCCGATGAACTTTTGTAATCATTACAGGTATTACAATACTTACTAAATTTTGACAAGTTTAGAACTTTCGTAAAGTATATGAAATTTGTTTGTCGAAATATTTTATTGATGCTCAAGAGAGATTAATATTTACATTAGGAAAACCTGATTATCAACACTAGGAGTAATTAATTTAATCAAGAAAGTTCACATAAGTATAGTTACAGTGAGTCAGAAATCCTAGAACCAGTATAATTGAATTCATTAATATTTAATCATTTGGTTGTTTGTTTTTTAATTAATAATTTTTGTTTCATAAACTATCTCATTCAATTCCTTAAATAGATCATAATTTAAAAGACTTTGGTAATTAGTAGTAATTTTTAAAAATCCTCGTGGGATGATACTCTACTCATCACTTTATTACTTGTTATGATTCGTACACTTGCAAAATTAACCAACACATAACCCAGGTCACAAGTTTGGTTGATTAACTAAGATGGTTTTTTATGTCTTTTTTTTTAAATTACCCTTCAACATTGGATAATTGAAAATTAAAATTTATAATTTGTGTCGATTAGATTTTTATGGGGCTATCTTGGTCTTATAACCCATGTCTAGTGTTGTCAGATTTTCATGACTTGAGTAGTAAATTTTATAGGTTAACTTAACTTAATCCAATTCAATTTAATGTGTTATCATTTTAATATTTAAAAACATATGTTGTTCTGCTTTTTTTTAAATCAAATTATATTTTTATTTTTTGTCTAGGTCGTCTTTTGAATATATCAAATCAATCAAATCATATCAGATCAATTTCTATATAGTTTTTTTTTTAACTGAAAAACACATTAACTTCCAAATAATCTTTTTATAGTGAAAAGAATTAATCTAATTCAGAGCACAAGAAATATATAGATATATAAAAAAAGATTAAGGTGTTAATATTTTTTAGGATTATAATATTTTTATGCTATGTTTGGTACCAAGTAATTGTAATGTATAAAACACTATTATGGTGTAATATTTTTCAGGCTTATAATACTTTTATGCTATTTTTAGATTTTTATACATTTAAAAGGTGTAGATAAATTAAGATGTAAGACATCACATGTAAATGAACTTATAAATGTTTAGCTCTTTTCTTAAACTAAATAGTAAATACAAAGAATGAGGGTCATCCTCTTAGTCATGTCTGAAAAAGAATATGGTTATTCTTTTAGAGGTGCTAAGGAAGGATATGGTCATTTCTTAGCTAATGTTTTAAATAATATTTGAAATTTTATTTTATTATTTTTTATGGTGATATTTATATTTTTTAATGATTATATAGGATATTAATGTGTATATGCAAGGTTGTTAAAAATATATTTTTAACACGGTACGAAAAATATAAAATAAACTTGAATTGTAAAAATAGATTGTAAAATGATAAAAAACAATTCATACATAATTCAAGTATCTTAAAATATATAGTTCAAATAAAAATTAATATATAATTCATACATCTTAAAATATATAGTTGAAATAAAAATTTATATATATTAAATTAATTTGTTTTTTATTTTTAATATTAATACATCAAAACAATTAATATATATATATAAAAAAACAGAACAAGAAATACATAAATAAGGAAATTGAGTTTTTATTAAAGATAAAGATAAACATTTTCATTCCTTTTTAATTCAAGTTATTAGAATCTAATAAGTATTCAATTGTCATTGGTTTTTATTTCATAAACCACGGGTACGGAGATAATTTTCACTTAAAATTTTTATCATTTTTTTTTTTATGAATATATATATATATATATATATATTAATGTTTATATCATTAAATAAAAATAAATTTAAAAAAATGTTACACGAAATCACATTGACTAGTACTCTTAGCATTCATGAAAACATTAACTAAGCCCAGGTCATGCCTGTTAAAGTGAAGGCAAGAGGGCATATATTGCGAATTGAGCCTGACAAGGAAGTGCACTATTGCAACATATATGCCGTCCTCTTCGTGGTGTAGCTGGCGCCTGGCAGCACATCTTTTTATGCGGACAAATGGCATATTGTTGTTGGTTTGGACAAAATATATATTGTAAATTTTTGCCGTTTCATTTAATTTTATTAATTTTACCCGTTTTCAATCCATTTTTATTAATTTTTAAATTTTTAAACCTATTCTGCGCGTTAAGTATATTTCAAATTTTTAAACCTATTCTGCACATTGAATATATATTAGCTGGTAAAATTATATTATTTCTTCAAATTAATTATTTTTTTATAAAGTTAATTAAAAAAATTGAAATATCTTTTTTTTTCTCTTTAAGATTCCTTTAAAATATGATAAATTTTTATTCTAATAATAGTGCTTTTGATAAAAAAAAAAACATATTCCCTAGAAATGTTTTTAAAAAAAACTTAATGAATAAGGAAAATGAAGTCTTGGCTAAAGAAATTTATTCTTTCTTTCGTAATTTAAATCATTCGAGTTTTGATATATATTTATTTCAATTGCTTTAAATATTTACTCAAATAACAATGTTGTTAATAAAAACAATCATTGTTCTGTAAAAATAAAAAACCAATAATTATCAAAAAGGAATTTTGACAATAGAAATATATTTTTTTCTCATAATTTAAATCATTAATGTTTTTATTAATATTTATTTTAATTATTAAAAAAAATTATAGAATTTATTCCTCTTAAATTTTAAATAGATGAATTATATTTTCATAATACATTTATAAGAATGGAAATTATATGCATTTCGTGAACCAAAATTACCCTCCATGATAAATAAGAGAAAATGAATAAAATGAGAAGGTTAACTAAGATAAAATATTTACATATGCATTTATCTTTCACTTCTTATATAAAAGATATTTTTCTACTTTAATCTTTAATTAGTGTTAATAATCTTTTATGATTAAAAACCTTACTTTTCAAATAAGATTTAAATTTTTTATGGTTATATTATCAATTAATTTATAAGACATTTTATATAAATCTAATTTGTAATTTTGTTTTAAAAGTTGCTCCTAACTCTACAATGAGAGTGATTTTTTTTATTTTTCTTATATAATTTTTATATAATTTTCTTATATTAATTATTTATTTTTTATTTTTTTTACTATTGCTTGAAATTACTATGATATATTTTAAAAAAATCTTAAAAAGATATATTATTGATAAAAAAAATAATAATAATAAGTAAGGAGAGATTTGGAGAAAGAATATTGATTTTAATTGTGTTAAGTTTTTATTTAAAAATTATGCTACATATAAAAAAATACATATTTTCATAAAAAATAATAAAAAAAAAAGTTTAAATATTTTTTATAATTTAAATTGTAAAATATTTGAAAAATATTTGTTCTCATTATCACATAATTAAATAAAATAAGTTGTGAAAATTTCTGAAAATTTCCTCATAGGAGCTCACTAGCATATAGCTAGTTCTCTTCTAGAGCATTTCCCATCATCCAAAAAGAAATCAAATTTCGGCTTCTTATAGGAATCCCAGGTAGCTTTAGTTTCTTTCCCCCTTTGTAGAGGAATGCCCCTCTGGCTAGAGGAGAGCCGTCGAGCACATAAAAGCTTAATGTGGGTGCTATCTATGTGACATCCATGAGCATCTTCATCTTCATGACACAATAGAGACGAAAGTGAAGATGGTATTAAATTTAAATGACCTGGGAAAAAAAAAGACTCCGGTTTAAATTTAATTAAATGACTCACATGCTTTAGATTAAATATAAAGAGTGATTATTTTCCAAACGCTTGTTTATGCTTTAGATTAAATATAAAGAGTGATTATTTTCCAAACGCTTGTTTATGCTTTAGATTAAATATAAAGAGTGATTATTTTCCAAACGCTTGTTTATGCTTTAGATTAAATATAAAGAGTGATTATTTTCCAAACGCTTGTTTATGTTAAACCGGGTGTTTGAAATTAGTTATCAGCATTGGGATATGGCCATGTCCGGTCGCGGAGGTGATCGGATTTTATGGACATCCGTTGATCACAGCCATGATTTCATCAATAATTTAATAAGCATGTCATTAAATATAAAGAGTGTGATTATTTTCATTTTAAGAATTAAATGTTGAGAGATGGACACATCATAATGTTGGAAAAACTTAGAACAACCGGACACCAATTTACCCGGATCAATTCAACGGAATACAATTATAATTCACAAGTCCCAATTCTTTCCCTCTTTGTGCAGTAAAACAGAATCAAACAATGATGAAAATAATGCAAATAATCACAAAATCAACACCAAGATTTTTAACGTGGAAAACCCGATGCGGGAAAAATCACGGGACCGTAGTCCACCTAAAAACTTCCACTATCAACAAATAATGGGTTCACAATCATTCTTCCTCAGATTCAACTAAGGGATACAACATATATATCATCAAGAACAACTTATTCTTGGATTACATCAAGATTAAAGGAGAATTATTTGAGAAAAACTCACAAAACTGACAGCCCCGTTTTCTGTCCAAACGGCCAGCTTCCACCTCACCAATCTTCGATCCAACCGTCCAGAATGAAGATCAAAGTGTCTAGAAGCTTCTGTCAAAATCTCAGCCCGATCCAATGGTGAACGAGCTGGAAATCAAAGAAAGAATGCAGGCTGCTTTGCTGCCTTTTCTTCTCTTTTTCTCTCTTGATTTTCTTCTCCTCTTTTCTCTTTTCAAATCTGCCCCTACAGTACCCGAACCACAATAATATTAACATTAAGAAACAACCATCACATGATATTTAATGTAATGGTGGGGTGTGGGACCATACACAAGACATAATTCACAGGACTTGCAAATCCACAATGAAGTGGTGAACAGGAAATTTATAGTTAAGAGAAAGTGGAAGAGAGAAAACAAAGCAAATGCAGGGGGATTAACATAGAATTCAACAGAGGGCAAGATCATGAAATAGACAAAAACAGGCTTGGAAACCTACTACCAGCTTAGAGCATGAAATACTTTGAAAATCTGATTAGATGGTGACAGCATCCATGAACTCCAAATCGTTTCCTAAAGCCTTCAAAGTCTCAGGCAAAACGGAGAATTCAACGTCGATGCTCCCGTCTTCCAGTCCCGGAAACAATGTTAACTTCCCATCGAACTTGTTCCCAGACCCGCTTCGCACTGCAACGGGCCTTCCCCAACCAAAATCAGTACCATAAACGTTGTGTCTTGGCGAGCTGCTAATAGCCAAACTGTGAATACGTCCAATGTCGGCCTTTGTTAATGGACTAGGATTCTTCAGCACCGACGCTAAAACGTCCGTCACCTTGTTTTTTGTATAAGAAGAAACCACCTTGTTAATCTCCAAAGCTACAAATCCAAGCCCTTGCTCCAGTATCTCTCTTGTTCTCAAAGTTACAATCCCAGACACAATTGCATTTCCACAATAGCTTTCTGGTAATGGTGGTTGTAATCGTGCCCGCAAACCTATTAAAATTATTAAATCAATCTCTTTATCATGTTCAACTAGTCGAGCTCGAGTTGTAGCTCTCCAAATATGAGCCAAAAGTGACTGAAGTGAGGAGATTGACGTAGTAGCAGCTTCATCATTGGCTTTTGCTTTGAGCACCGCTATTTTTCCCTTGGTAAAATGAAAAACTCTTTCTTGCAAAGGTGATGGAATGAACGAATCAGAGTTGTTCTTTATGATTGAGAGAGGAAGGCGAATCGGCGGGCTAATAGTACCGTTGAGAAGTGACCAACGTTCAAGGACAGGAGTTTTGGAGATGTGATCCAACCCACGATGGATTTCAGACCAAGAATTGAAGAAATTCCAAAATGACGAGCCATCAACAGCAGCATGGTTCATGGTACAACCAACAAAGATGCCATCCACAAGCTCAGTAACTTGAACTGCTAGCAAAGGTTTGGAAACAGCCTCGTAGTTTGAGATCCCATTTAATGGAAAGAAAGAGTGGACAATTGGAGGAACATAAACTGGCTGGAGGATGTCAGCCATGGTTACACCATCCGCTGCGGCATGAACAAACTGGGCTCCCGCATTGTTGCAGTCAATGAAAAAGGAGACTGTGTTATCATCATGTTCTACTGCGGCTATGCGACCAGCAAGAAGATTGAAGCAATCTAGTGTGCGAGAAAGTGAGGTTTTCAAGTGTTGGATCAGTGAGTTTTGATCTTCTAATGATTTGGGTTTGAGGAAGAGAAGACCCTTTTGGATGGCATCTACAAGAAGAAGCTTGAGATCACACTGAGTCAACTCAATCCTCTCATCTGTCACCTTGTCGGAAGTGGCTTGAACCATGCTTGTAGAGAGCAACCTAATGTTTGCCATGCTAAATTTCTTGTCTGATGAAGGGTTTTCCACTATGGAAAGTACTTTTAAGCTCTGAGAATGAAACTTAGCTCTTCTTTTCTCAAGTAAAAAGAAAAGAAAAACACTGATGCTTCAAGACAACAAGGAAAAGCCGGCGATTGGTTAGGTGCAGATTTCGAAGATATTATTTATAATCTAATCAATGAAGGACCGACACGTGTGTGATGCACAAGTCTCGCACCCAAATTTTTTTTCCCATGACTTTTCCACTCTTCGAGCGTATGAAGGGAAATGCGGAAAATAAAAAAATATATATTATTTTAGTTTTTCAATATTTATTTTACATGCTTTAAATGGAATACAAAATAAAATATTTTTATTTTTATTTTTTATACAAATATTATTCCTGCTTATCTCATGAAAATATCAAAATACAATTAACTGTAAGGGTGCTTTTTTCACTGGTTTTCTCGTCTAATTTTTTTTAATTTTTTTATAACATTATCCCAATTTTATTACTTGTATTAAGAATTTGAAAAATTTATTAGAATTAATTCAAATTATTTTTTTATTTTTTATTTTAATTAATTTTTTTAATTTTTAATTTTTAATATTAAATTAATTAAAAATTATATAAATTTTTTAATAGGTTATATTAAATTGTTAAAATAATTATGTATCAAATATATTAAAATAAAATTACCTTTTCTAACAGCTTTTTACTGTTGAAGGGGCATACAAGCAATATATATATATATATATATATATATATATATAACCAATTTGGCTCTTGTAAAGAACATCTTCCCTTTAGATACGCTTTTGCCCTTTAAAGATGCTATTAGATTTTGTGATCGGGAATGCGACACGGCATGATTTTAAAAAAATATTTTTAATTAAAAACGTATTTTTAGATTTGCTTTTATTTTTTCATCAAAATATTCAAATTATTAAAATATATTAATTTAATATTTTTTCAAATAAAAAAAAATTTGAATATCACTTTGAGAATAAAATTCAACCATAAAAACAAATTCTAAATCCTAAAATCAATAAATGATAAACTAGTTACTATCTAACCAAACAATATAAATTTTTTTAAGAAAAATAGAGAAAAAATTTAGTTTTTAATTAATTAATTATAATTTTATATTGAGATTGATAACACAAACTTATTATCTAGATGTATATAATATTATATAAATAAAAAATAAAAAAATAGAAAAAAAAATAATACATGATATATAATTGACTAGGTATATTTATCAGCATTCACTTTAATTATGACTGGAGGATTCTTCAATTCAATAAGAACGAGAGCCAGTACTTCTAACTGTATAAAAATTAAATTAATTAAATAATATATTACCTAATATTAGTAATCAAGAATGTGTTTGGAATTGTTACCGTGATGGTGATTTAATATTTATTTAATATTTTAAAATTTATTGTTGATATCAATATATTAATATGATTTAAAAATATATAAAAAAAATTATTTTAAAAAACAAAATTTAAAATTTGAAGTAACTTGGTGCGGAGACTAAGAGTAAAAAGAAACCCTAAAAATATTAAACTAATTAAATATATCCTTCAGTCTCCACGAATACTGCCAGTCTGGAGTCCGGACCATGAATGGTTGTGTAGTCTTTTAGTGCTCTAGGCCATGCAACGGAGATAGAACTAGTTTTTGAACGTTTAGCGTCGAGAAAGGGCGCCCATGTGCCTCTGATCTGGCTCGAGCACTCTTCTCCATGATGTCAGAAACGTCAACAGGTTTGAGAGGACAGTTCGGGTGATAAAGGCAGCGGTTGCTTTTTTTTTTTAAAGTAATTTGAACGTGTGTATGCCTATTAATTAATACTCTAAATGTCGTGGAAAAGTATGTAATTTTCCTCACGTCACATGTTTTCTCTTTTTTTTTTTCTGTTTATTTTTTTTTATTTTGTTTTTCAAGGAGTTACATGTTTTTTTTTAAGATTGTTTTTGTTTTTTTATTTTTTAAAAATTTTTTAATTAATTTTTTTAATATTGAACTAGTTAAAAATTTAGTTATGTAATTTTCTCTTTTAAACATTATAAATTACTATAATATTTTCTTATATGATTTTTTTATGAATTTTTTTCTTTTTTTAAAATTTTTTTTTGTCAATTTTATTTTTTTTATATCGAGTTAATTGAGAATTTTGCTTTATAATTTTTTTTATTTAAAATATTATGGATTGTTATAATATTTCCCTACATAATTTTGTTTTGCTATAGGTTTGAGCTAATTCCCTACATAATTTTGTTTTGCTATAGTTTGAGCTGATTGAGAATTCAACATTAACTTTCCCTACATGTTTTTTTATATTTTTCATATTTTTTGAATTTTTTTTCAAATTTGTCTTCTTCTTCTTTTTTCTTTTTTTTTTTTTCAGAATTGCTTTTGTTAATTTTATTTTTTTTAATATGAAGGTGGTTGAAAATTTAGTTTTCTAGTTTTTTTTCTTAAAAACACTGTGGATTGTTACAATATTTTTTCACAATGTTTTTTTTATGATTTTTTTTCAGAAATGTCTTTGTCGATTTTATTTTTTTCATATTAAGATAATTGAGAATTTAGCTTCGTAGTTTTTTTAAAAAAACTATTGTAGATTGCTACAATGTTTCCTTACATGATTCTTTTTGTTATAATTTTTCTAAAATTATCTTTATCAATTTTATTATTTTAATATTAAGCCGGTTGATTGATACTTAAAAGTGTATTTTTATCAAGGTTTTATATCATCATTTTGCACTTGAAGTATCAATAACTCCTTAAATAAAGCATGTTTTATAATAATATATCTAATAATATAAGATACTTTTAATTTATGGTAAATGTTTATTTTAAATACAGGTCTATCACATAAATGAAAGGATTGATTGATAAATTTAAAAACTGAAATTGAAAGGACAAAGAGATGTCGGTGCAGTCCATACCGGAACATTGTTCGGTAATTGGGTCAAAGTTTATGACTTTGTGAGTAACCGGGTGCATTCATCACAAATGTTTGTATTCGCGTCAAAAGGGAAGTGACTACTTAAAGACAAAAAATAAATCATATGTTCAAAAAAAATATATATGGAAGTGACAACTTAAAGACAAAGAATAAATCATATCTTCAAAAACAAAGAAAGAAAAAAGAAAGAAAAAAAATATATAGATATTTCTCTAGTTTGCTACCTTGTTTGTGTTGGTGAGAAGGGAAGATTACAAGTTGAGTTTTCGTATGAATCAATTATGTTGGTTGCACGATAAATATGACTGAATTTGGAAATTTTGTATGGATGTTTGATTTAGAGAATGTGAGTATGCTTACTTTTCTTTATTTGCTATTGTGTACACTAAGTTAAAGATACCAATGTTTGCATGATAGGTCCTTCAAATGTGATGAATCAAGCCTAATTATGGTTGTTATTATTATTATTTTTATTTTAAAGGTTTAATGTTTTGTTTTGCTTGAGGACTAGCAAAATCTAAGTTGGGGGGTGTGATTGTGCATCAAAAGTGTCATTAAGTCTCTTATTTTACATATGTATTTATTGTTTTTATTTGATTGTTTTTATAATAATTGATGTGTTTTTTAGTAATGAAGTTTGTTTTAATGTTTCGATAGGTTTTTGGAGCTTAAATGAATTAATTCAGAAAATTCAACGTCGGAATTCAGAACAAAGAACTGAAGAGACATTTAGTTGAAGATTGAAGCAAATCTTGGTTCAAATAAGTGCTCCAAATTTGTCCCAAAAATCAATTCTATTCCAATTCTAGAAAAGAATATCATATGATTTATTTCAAGCCCAAACTTGTCTTATGTTGTGTGCAAACTTCAACCATTAAACACTCAAGGTTTCAATGTCAATCTTAGCCCAAATAATAAGTACATTTGTATACTTATTTGATGCTCAAATTCAGCCCAAAATCAGCCCCAAATCAGCCCTAAATCAACCCCAAATCAACCTTCAAATCAACCCAAACACAATCCATGATCTTACATGTCCACACAACAAATAACAATTGATTTATTTTGGGCAATCCATTGATCCAAGAAGGCAAGCACATGGATGGAAAGCTGGAGGGGATATTTTAACATTATTTTGGGTCAAAAAGAAGAAGGAGACACCTCATAAATGAGGAAGAAAAACGTGCACCAAAGTAGTTGTAAAGCTGTCTTGATTTGATTTTTCAGAACACCTTTTGGTGTTTTGCCCATAACTTTTGACTCAGGTATCCAAATGAGTTGTTCTTTAATGATCTGGAAAGGTGACAGAATGGCCTATAAATATGTCTCTAATAGACTTCTCCAAAAAAAAGCTTCTAAGAGGGTCAAATTCCTGTCCAAAGTTAGAGTCAGATTTGTGTCCAAATTTTTTCTGAAATTGTATTGTGTTCTTCTTTATAGATTTCGGTTCTTTAGTTTGTAAAACTTATTTTTTCAGTTGGATTCAAGTTCTTTCATGTTTATTGAAGTGTTCTTATATATAATCATGGTTGGCTAAACTCTTTCTTGGATCCAAATCAAGGATAATGGTGATTGAGGTGAGTTCTTTAGGATATGAATGAATCTTAATGTTTATCTTCTTATTTTCTTCATGAATGATTTATTATTGTAAAGAAATTTTAGAAATCATTTAGGTAATTTTATAATCTTGAATTTTTATGCACAAACTTTAGTTTTGGTATAGAGATTGCTTGATTCAATGTCTTACTTAATATGAAAGTACTTGTTCATTCTTAAACAATAATCAATCTTCATCTTTCTAATCTTCATTGTAATATCTTCCGATCTAATATCACCATCGTTGATATTAGGTTGAGTTATCTTATATATGTTGAAGAAATCACCAATACATCACCATTAAAATTGATTTGGACCAAGACTTACTTTTCTTGTCATTTAAAGTCTATTTACATTTTTTTTATCTTTGAAAACAAATCCATCAATTATTTTCAACCAAGTTATTGTTAATTTAATTTCTCTTGAGTTTTTTTTTTGTTACTTAGCTTAATTTCCAGATCTAGCTCTCTATGGATATGACCTCGATCTTACCGAGTTAATTGCTACATCGCACACTCGTGCACTTGCGAGTTAAAAACAAGCCGAT